GGGGAACACGCCAACGGCTCGTAGCTGGGCGTGGCCCATTGGGTGACCTCCCCTAATTGCTCCTGGCAGGTGTAGCCGTGTGCCTGCTGACCCTGGGGAGCCTGCAGCCTGGCACTGCTGGGGACACCTTGCTGCTAACCCGCCTGGAGAAGGACAGCCCTCCAGTCACCATCCACATCCCAACAGCTCACAGCAAGGTGAGGGGCAGGGTCCATGGCACAGCAGGCTGGCAGCAGTGGGGGCTCAGGACGGGGGTCACAGTGCTGTGTGTCTGCAGGCGCCCCTGAGCACCGTGCTTGGCGAGTTTGATGCCATCCAGAGGGAGCAGAAGGAATTCAGCAGCTGCACGGACAAGAGGGACTGGTGGATGGGCCGGACGGAGCTGGACAGAAGGATGAAGGTGGGTGGGGATGCAGGAACTCGGCGGAGCAGGAGCCTTGGGCTTTCTGGCTACCTCTGCCCCACCTTGCTCTGCCAATGTGTTTCCCATGGCCCTATGGGGGAGCTCCCTCCTCACAGACCCTTCCACTGAGGGGACTGGGGGGGCTTTGCTGTCAGTGCTCCAGACTCCTGTTCCCTCCTGCAGGTCCTGACGGAGACTCTGGAGAAGGAGGTGCTGGGATGCTGGAAGGGGGCCTTGCTGCCGGCCAGCCCAGACCCTGCTGTGGGCGAGGAGGCCTCCAGCCTGCAGGAACGTCTCCGGGAGTGTGGCTGGGACGGCTCTGATCTGGCCCTGCTGAAGGTGAAGGAGAGTCCTGGGAGGGCCAGCCGAGGAGCTCCGAGCACGACCCGGCTCTTGGCTTTGGCCGGGCAGGGAGATGTGGCTGGTCTAGCGTTAGCCTGCTGAGTTGAGCCTGTGACTGGTGGGAAGGGAGCCAGGTCTCCACTAATGGGACCTGACCTCAGGAGAGCACGTGGGTCCCATGGGGGGGTTTGAGGTGTTGGTCCCACTTCTGGCCCAGTCGCTCACGCCTCAGTCTCTCTCTCCCCTCAGCTCGTGTTGACCAGCGCTCACCTCCTCACCCCCCAAGACGTGCAGTGCCTTGCGTCGGGGCTGTGCCCAGCACAGCCGCATGCCGCGCAGGCCCTGCTGCAGGAGGCGCTGGACAGGGGGAGATCCCGCAGCGGGCAGGCGAGTGGTCACCTGGTTCTTGTGCTGGACAAGGTTAGTGGTGGCCTCCCCAAAGCATGTCCCTGCCAGCCCAGCCCCTGGCTCATCGGGTGTCTCTCTCCTCTCCAGCACCTGCAGAAGCTGCCCTGGGAGAACATGCCCTGCTTGAGAGCCCTGCCAGTGACCCGGCTACCCTCCTTGCGCTTCCTGCTCAGCTACACCCTTGCCCAAAGAGTAAGTGGGGGTGAGGCGGGCCAGGCTGGGACAGTGGGTAGCCCCTTTGGGCCCTTCCTCGGGATGGGGAAATCCCCTTCCCCCGTCCGACCTGCTCGACTTACTGAGCTTGAGAGATCCAGGCAAGAGGAGCAGTGGCCCCCTCCCTGCTCGCTGGAGGGGCTCTGAGGTGCCCTGGGGCAAGTTCCAAGTGCTGTGAGCCAGGACTAAGTTCACATGGCTGGACGGGGCACTGCCCAGTGCCCTGGGTCCTGGGGTGCTGTGGCTGCCCACACGGATCCTCTCCAAGATCTCAGCCTGTGCCTGGGGCTCTGTAGGATGCTGCACCTAAGGGGGGAAGTAACACGTCTCGGGGGGCCTCATTTCAGCATCAGCCAGGGTCTGTCCTCACCCGCGGGGTGAACCCCAGCAATGCCTTCTACGTCCTCAACCCTCACGACAACCTGCCTGGGACAGAGGAGCGCTTCCGAGCCTGGTTTGAGAGGTGGGTGCGTCCCTGCCTGTGTGCCCAGTGGGGAAGGGTTAATCTGCCCACCTCAGACGGAGACGTGTGTCCCCTGAGGCCTCAGCAGGTGCCCGCAAGGGGCATTGCTAAGCCAGGCCATGGGAGTTTGCCTGTCACTGGCAGGGCGGCGGGCGCCCTGCTCTGTTCTCACTCGGTGTCGTCTCACAGCGAACCCGGCTGGAGCGGGGCGACAGGAGCAGTCCCAAGCCAGGAGCAGATGCAGTCGGCTCTCACGGAGCACGATCTCTACATGTAAGTGTTGCTGGCGGGGTGGGGGGCACCCATACAAGCCAGCGGGACATGGGTCTCCAACGGTGGGTGGAGCCAGCAAGCAGGGCGAGTCCCTCTCACAGATGTGCACCTCAGACTTCTGGGTACCATTGCCAGCTCCCCTGCTCCCCACTCTGAGGTCCAAGGAGACCCCTCTGCAGGATGCTGCTGCCGATGGGTTTCTGTAGTGGCAAGTGGCACTCTCCTGTGTAAAGGACAAAGCGTAATGATCCTGAGGGATGGGGTGCGCCCAGGGGAACAGTAGCAAGGCACCCCATCGGGCCATGGCTGCAGAGCATTTGTCCTGCGAGTCAGCCTCACTGGAGGCCAGGGAGCTGCGTGGGAGAGCAGTGACCCCAGCTGTCACCAGATCCCCTGCCGTGCTGGGCACTAACCACAAACTCTGCCTTAGCTACGCCGGGCATGGAGCAGGGGCTCGATTCCTGGATGGCCATTCGGTCCTCAAGCTGGACTGCCGTGCTGTGGCCCTGCTCTTCGGCTGCAGCAGTGCTGCCCTGGCCCTCCGTGGCAACCTGGAGGGAACCGGTATCATCCTCAAGTACATCATGGCGGGATGGTGAGTCTCCCCCCCCGGCCCACGTGGCTTTAGAGCTGTGTGTAAACCAGGGAGGTGCGAGGGTTGGAGGGCTCCTTCCTGACCCCTGTAGAGGCTCAGTTTGGACCCTGAAACATGAGGTCTGGTCACCCTGGCTGAGCTCGTAGAACTCCATCTGCTAATGGCCATAAATCAACATCTCTAATCCCATCACAGCCTCCCACTCTGCTGCCTGAGGCCAGTGCAAGCTTCCCTCACTCACTCACCACACACATCTAATTAATAGCAGGGAGAGGGTTAGGAACTGAACTACCCTCTTTGTACTTAGGCCAGACATGGCTATGCTGGGTGAAGGTACCGGCTCCAGCCCTGTGTCTGTTCCCTTTACAGCCCCTTGGTGCTGGGAAACCTCTGGGATGTGACTGACCGAGACATCGACCGCTATATGGAGGCACTTCTCCAGAGCTGGCTGAAGTCAGGACCAGGTGCTCCTCTCCTCCAGCATGTTGCCCAGTCCCGCCAGGCCCCCAGACTCAAATACCTGATTGGTGCAGCCCCCATAGCCTATGGCTTGCCTGTGATTCTGCAGTGAGACCCCTGTCCAAGGCGTCATGGGACTTGGATCATAAAGGAGATCCAGCACCTGACCTCTGCCTCCTCTGGACCAAAGCTCCTCTGAAAGTGCCTTTTGTTCAGATGCAGATTTTCAGCCTTGTCTGTCTGATCTCGGCAGACAGCCCCTGGTTGGCTTCTCATAAGGACTTGTGGATGGATGATCTCTTAAGGTTCACTGTGGCACATTTAAACAGCTGCAGTGTCTTGGAGTGGCTGGTCTGGGAGAAGAATCGTATGCATGTAAATTGTCAAATCTGTATGAATAAGTTATTTTAATAAAAGTACCTGAGTTTTTATATTGTAAACTGCCGTACAAGTGTTATGGTCAACTGAAATAAAGCTGGTGGAGCCATAGCCTTGAATCATGTGGCTTTCCTGGGCCCCAGGGCAGGCAGACAATTCACTCCTCCACTTCTGACCTAAATCGAAATGGAACCAGATTGCTAGTACTTAACATTAAAAAGGTCGTAGAGCAGTTTTTAAACTAAAGACTGGGGGAAAGCCAATATGATTCTAGGTTGTATCAACAGGTGTGTTGTAAGCAAAACTCGTGAAGTCATTCTGCCGCTCTACTCTGCACTAGTTAGGCCTCAGCTGGAGTACTGTGTCCAGTTCTGGGCGCCACATTTCAAGAAAGATGTGGAGAAATTGGAAAGGGTACAGAGAAGAGCGACAAGAATGATTAAAGGTCTAGAGAACATGACCTATGAAGCCAGGCTTCATGAACTGGGCTTGTTTAATTTGGAAAAAAGAAGATTAAGGGGGAACATGATAGAGGTTTTCAAATATCTAAAAGGGTGTCACAAGGAAGAAGGAGAAAATTTGTTCCTCTTGGTTTCTGAGGACAGGACAAGGAGTAATGGGCTTAAAGTGCAGCAAGGGAGGTTTAGATTGGACATTAGGAAAAAATTCCTAACTGTCAGAGTGGTCAAACAGGGGAGGTTTAGATTGGACATTAGGAAAAAATTCCTAACTGTCAGGGTGGTCAAATATTGGAATAAATTGCCAAGGGAGGTGGTGGAATCTCCCTCGCTGGAGATATTTAAGAACAGATTAGATAGTCATCTGTCAGGGATGGTGTAGACGGAGCTTGGTCCTGCCTTGAGGGCGGGGGGCTGGACTCGATGACCTCTTGAGGTCCCTTCCAGTCCTATTATTCTATGATTCTAGGTGTGGAGAAGCACATGGATTGGACAGAGATCTATTGGGGAGGCTATATTAATAGAGATGTTCTAGTCAGGAGGAGATGATGGAAGTATGGGTCAGGTCAAATGAGACAATCAAATGAAAGAGTCTAACATCAGGAAATGGCAGACATAAATAGTGACAAATTATTAAAGTGCTTATATGTAAATGCTAAAAGTCTAAAGAGTAAAATGGGTGAACTGGAGTACCTAGTTTTTAAAGGAGGATATTGATATAATAGTCATCATGGAAATTTTGGTGGAATGAGGACAATCAATGGGACACAATCATACGAGGGTACAAAATATATTGGAAGGACAGAGCAGGTCATACTGTGGCACTATATGTGAAAGAAAATGTAGAATCAAATGAAGCAAAAAATCTTAAATGAACCAAAATGTTCCATAGAATCTTTATGGACAGTAATTCCACGCTCCAATAATAAGAATATAGCTGTAGGGATATATTATCAGGACCGTGATAGTGACTGAGAAATTCTGAGAGAGACTAGAGACGCTATCAAATTAAACTCAATGGGTGTGTCTAGACCGGCAAGTTTTTCTGCAAAAGCAGCTGCTTTTGCGGGAAAAACTTGCCAGCTGTCTACACTGGTCGTTTGAATTTCCATAAGAACACTGACTTCCTACTGTTGGAAATACTATGCTGCTCCCGTTTGGGCAAAAGTCCCTTTTGTGTAAAGCTTTTGTGCAAAAGGGCCGGTGTAGACAGCTCAGATTTGTTTTGCACAAATGGCAATCGGGGCTTTTTTGCGGAAAAGCGCATCTAGATTGGCACGGACGCTTTTCTGCAAAAAGTGCTTTTGCGGAAAAGCGTCCGTGCCAATCTAGATGTTTTTTTCTGCAAATGCTTTTAATGGAAAACTTTTCCATTAAAAGCATTTGCGGAAAATCATGCCAGTCTAGACATAGCCAATAATAGCTGGGGTCTTCAACTATCCCTGTATTGACTGGGTACACATGACCTCAGGATGGGATGCAGAGATAAAATTTCTTGATCCATTAAATAACTGCTTCTTGGAGCAGCTGGTTGAGGAACCCACAAGGGGAGAGGCTATTCTTGATTTAGTCTTAAGTGGAGTTCAGGATCTGGTTCAAGAGGTAAATATAACTGGACCACCTGGAAATAGTGACCATACTGTAATAAAATTTAACATCCCTGCAGTGGGAAAAACACCTCAGCAGCCCAACACTGGCATTTAATTTCAGAAAGGGGAACTACACAAAAATGAGGAAGTTAAACAGAAATTAAAAGGTACAGTGACAAAAGTAAAATCTGTGCAAGATGCATGGAAACTTTTCAAAGACACCATAATAGAGGCCCAACTTAAATATATACCCCAAATTAAAAAACAATAAGAGAACCAAAAAAGTGCCACTGTGGCTTACCAACCAGGTAAAAGAAGCAGACACAGATGAAAAAGATATCTTTTAAAAAATGGAAGTCAAATCCTAGTGAGGAAAAATAGAAAGGACCATAAACTGTCAAATTAAATGTAAAAATATAAGAAAAGCCCCCAAAGAGTTTGAAGAACGGCTAGCCAAAAACTCAGAGTAATAGTAAAATGTTTAAGTACATCAGAAGCAGGAAGCCGGCTAAACAACCGGTGGGGCATTTGGATGATCGAGATGTTAAAGGAGCCCTCAAAGATGATAGTTGTAGCAGGGAAGCTGAATAAATTCTTTGCTTCAGTCTTCGTGGCTGAGGCTATTGGGGAGATTCCCAAACCTGAGCCATTCTTTTTAGGGGAGGAAATCTGAGGAATTGTCTCAGATTGAGATGTCATTAGAGGAGGTTTTGGAACAAATTGATAAACTTAATACTAACAAGTCACCAGGACCCGGATGGCATCACCCAAGAGTTCTGAAAGCACTCAAATGAGAAATTGCAGAACTAGTAACTGTGGTTTGTAACCTATCCTTTAAATCAGCTTCCGTACCTAATGATTGGAAGAGCTAAGGTGACACCAATTTTTAAAAAGGGCTCTAGAGGTGATCCTGGCAATTTCAGGCCAGTAAGTCTAATGTCAGTACCAGGGAAATTAGTTGAAACTATAGTAAAGAATAAAATTGTCAGACGTGAATGAATATAATTTGTTGGGGGAAAGTCCATGTGGTTTCTGTAAAGGGAAATCATGCCTTACTAATCTGCTAGAGTTCTTTGAGAGGGGTCAACAAACATGTGGACAAGGGTGATCCAGTGGATGTTGTATACTTAAGATTTCCAGAAAGCCTTTGACAAATTCCCTCTCCAAAGGCTCTTAAGTAAGTTGTCAAGGGATAAAAGGGAAGGTCCTTTTGTGGACTGATAACTGGTTAAAAGACAGAAAGCAAAGGGTAGGAATAAATGGTAAGTTTTCTGAGTAGACAGATGTAACTAGTGGGGTCCCCCAAGGGTCTGTCCTGGGCCCCATCCTATTCAACTTATAAATTATCTAGAGAAAGGGGTAAATAGTGAGGTGGCAAAATTTGCAGATGATAGCAGACTGTGAAGAACTTCAAAAAGATCTCACCAAACTAAGTGATTGAGCAACAAAATGGCAAATGAAATTTAGTGTTGATAAATGTAAAGTAATGCACATTGGAAAACATAATCCCAACTATCTATACCATATGCTGGGGACTAATTTGGCTATAACTACTCGAGAGAGATCTTGGAGTCATTGTGGCTAGTTCTCTGAAAACATCCACTCAGTGTACAGCGGCAGTGAAAAACAATGTGCAGCGGCAGTCAAAAAAGCAAACAGAATGTTAGGAATCATTAAAAAAGGGACAAAGAATAACACAGAGAACATCTTATTGCCTCTAACTAACACCACGGTACACCTAAATGTTGAATACTGTATATAGATGCGGTTGCCTCATCTCAAAAAGAATATATTAGCATTGGAAAAGGTTCAGAAAAGGGCAACATAAATGATTAGGGGTTTGATTTGGATCCCATATGAAGAGAGATTAAAAAGACCTGGACTTTTCAGCTTAGAAAAGAGGAGGCTAAGGGGGGGGGGGGGATATGACAGAGGTCTATAAAATCACAACTAGTGTGGAAAAAGTGAATAAGGAAAAGTTATGTACTTATTCCCACAATAAAAACTGGGAGGGGGTGTCCTAATGAAATTAATAGGCAGCAGGTTTAAAACAAACAAAAGGAAGTTTTTCTTTACTCTGTGCACAGTCAACCTGTGGAACTCCTTGCTAGAGGATTTGGAGAAGGGGGAGAGAGGCTTTAGGCCACTCTCAGGGCAGCAGAGAGCCCCAGCGTGAAGCCCCCATGGCTGCCTCTCTGCAAAGCTCCTTGCTGAGCTCCTGTAAGCAGCCTGGATGTTAAGTGACAGGTGGTGGAGCTGTGCAGACCCCAAGAGCAGAGGCTGCCCCTTCTGGGGGGTTATCCAGCCAGGACAGGCTAAGGCCTGTGCAAACCAGACTGACTCCACTGGCACCAGCAGGCGCTGCTGTTCTGACATAGCCCTGGGGC